AATAAAATTGAATTCTTAGCAAAATTAAGACAAAGCTGGCAGCAGAATGAGATTGGAACTAAGCTGGTAGGAGAAAATATGAGTAGATCTATTAATTATACTGCTGCATTGAACTGAGGAGTTACATTTGTGAATTTTTCACAGTGAATTTGTGTATTTATAGAAGTAAAACTGTTTCACATTTTCTGTGATCTAGTTCAGTTCTATTGCTAAAAGAATATAAATAATATACAGGATTAGTTTAAACTGAAAGTTTAATTCCAGTGAAATTGTCATCATAGTGCTTGAACCACTGAAAGCCAGAAGCAAAAGGGATTTAGGGCTGGGAAGAGTGACATTTTGATGTATATTGTTGCTTTTCACTCTTCTGTGCATGGCAGTCCTAGTAAACTTTTAGGTGCTTGCAACTTTATGGTTAGTAATAATAATATTGTCATTTATTGTCTAATTTTGGATATTAAGACTGAGTATATAATCCCAACCAACAGTTTGCTCTGAAAATTTTGTCCCTTTTGCCTCTGTTTCCTAGGATGGTAATGTATGGTATGGTATTCTGAAGTGTAGTAGGTAATATTTTCTTGTCGGTAGGTTTCCTTTGAATAAGGCTTTGGTTTCAAAAGATGATGAAGACAAAGAGGTAACTAATGTAACACACAACCCATTGCTGTTCCTTCCCCAGTTTTCCACATTGTATGTTCTGAGCACTTGTCTTGTACTAGTTCCAACAGTTGCTGGGTCCGTGTAGTGAGTGATTCAGCTCATTGATGTGTCAGAAAATTAGCTGGGGGAAAAACTTGCATAGATTTATGCTGTGTTAGTGAGCTAAACAGCCTCCCAGAAAGATGTGGCGAGAGGTGAGGCAGCCTTTGGAGGCTGTGAGTGAGCAGAAGCATGGAGAGAGATGTGAAGAGCAGGGGAGAAGAGCAAGGACTAGGACATACTTTTTTCATTTGGCAGGACAAAGCTGTCAGATGGGCTCAACTACTTTTAAAACCACAGTGTATATTTTACTGAAAACAGCTTTCTGTGTATGTGATGAGTGTGATTATTCACATAAGTCTATCTATTTATCTATCTATCTATCTATCTATCTATCTATCTATCTATCTATCTATCTATTTTTAACCCCTAGCCTCAAGCTATTACAGGAATGGAATGATAGCTGTATTTTCCATCTTCATAATAGAATAATTTAGAATACCAAAACCAATTACTGAAATACAGAGGGGAGGGTTATGGTGCAGTGTGAGGTGGTGGTATGTGAATGATTATTAAATGAAACACCAACTCTGTAAATCTTGAAAAGTCTACAGACTTTACATTATTGTGATATGCAAATATAAGAGAAAAGTTAAAGCCAAAGTTTAACAATAAGTAGTTTTATGATTAGCTATATTCTGGAGTATGGATTACAGTCAGTTCACTGCATGTCAGGCACTCTTAAAAACAACCATTTCAGGCCAAGTGTTTGTATTTGAGTTGCCACTTCACTTTTTAATTGCAGTTGATGATGTGCAAATCCCTGATATTTTATGTGGCCCCTGCATATGAATGCATGAAATAATACACACCATTAAGGTGGGCCCAGTCCATCTCCCACTCAAGTCAGTGGCTCACTTCCTACCGATTTCTGTAGGATTGGGCATTAGCCCTGTGGTGAAAGTTTTCCATATTTTGCACTCTATTTTTCTAGTTTTTCTATACACAAAACCTACATAGATGCAGTGATATTTATGCAGCAGTTTTAGCAGATGGCTCTTGAATCATCTGTTTTCAATGAAAAATGAAAAGACCAGACACATACATAAAGGCTGAATTAATCTTTGTAATTAAATGGAACATTGCTGTGAATTATTTTAGCTTTCCGAATGTATTTCATGCTAATTTTTCAGTGAACTGTAATTGTATTAAATTTTTATATTTTTAGAAGCTTGAAAATTATCTTCACAAAGTTATTGTGAGTCAAGTTGATATATAGAAGATCTGTGTCAGACTCATAAAACTTTGTCAGGGTGAGATATATGTTTTGTTTTGATTTAGTTTGGGTTTTTTACAGCAAGTACAATACGTCAGTAAGTGATGTTGCTAGCAGGCCTATAAAATACCCAAATCATATTCCAATTGTCAGAAGGCTCACATGCTAAGCTTGGCTGTCAAGTGAAAATTCAACCAGACTGGAAATTGGGATGCTTTGTAGCACTGAAAAACATGTGCATTCCCACATTGGCAAGTTGTTAAGTCAAAAGTGAAAGGTCATTTATTATTTTGTGTCTGTAGTAAACTGACTTGCAATGCTCTCATCCTGCCAGAAAGACATACTGATGATGAAATCCTGTGTGGAAATCAGTGGGGAAACTTCCATGCGTAATTAGCGGTAGAGGGAGTAGTCCCACTCTGAGTCTTCTGCTTGAAGCCTGCTCTCGCTGGCTGCTGGGATAGAAAACAGTTATCATGACTTACTCTAAAGCACTCTGCTTCTCTGCGTCACCCCCTGCAAGAGCCTGTTGGTTTTAGTGGCAGGGGAGGAAGCATGCAGTGATGAGTTTTAATTTATTCGACAGCCTAAGGTAGGCTGACTACTTAATAATAGCTGGGGGGAGAACCCCATCACCTCTTTTCTTCCTGTACACATGGTTATTTAATATGCAAATTAGAGAAAGGAGTTAAATGAGCCTTTAAACCATAAAAAAGTTGTGCACGGTGTGTTTATGGTTGAGTCATGTGCGATTACCGCACGGCTGGTTCTTGTACATTTGTCACATTTCATTTGCTTTCCCTGTATGTATGTGCATACCTCCTGGAAGGCCAGTCTCTTAAACATACTTTTAATCTTATCAACGGGAAAATACTGAATTCATTATCAAAGAGCAAGCCAGTTGTAGAAGAGTTATCCACTTCTTGTGCTGTATGAATAAGGAGTCTTTGAGATGCTGTTAAATATTACCCAAGTGAACAGAAAAGAGCCAAGTAAGCAATATGGAAATTTAGAAACCTGCTCTTAATACAATGCTTTCTAACTAGTCTGTTGTGTAAATTGGGCTGTTTGCTGGGCTCCACTGAATAGGCTTGGACCTCATACAAAGCCTGTGGGAAGAATCTGCTGTGGAAGAAGAGATCCAGATGGATGTAGCAGATATTCCACAAAGACCCCAAAATATTCATGCAGTGAAGTGGGGATGGACATAGCATGGTCACAACCAAACAATGGTTGTGCACCATGGGTTTCAGGGCAGGGCCCATCTCTGCTTCTTTCAACAAAGAAGAACTGCCGGATCTAGGCTGGCTTCATAGTCCTCTGTGTTTACAGCCAGTGAGGCATGAATTTATTTGCTTTTATTTGGAAGACAGGAAGAAATGAAGAGTGTCTTTAAATGATATAACACAGCTCAAATCCAAAAATATTCTTTTATGTGTCAAGAAAAAAAAAGATCAATAATTTTTGATCGACACTGTACTGGCTAAATCATTAATGAAATATACTGACACAGATAATCCTTACTTTTTCTTTAAAAGACTCTCATGATTTTTCACAAGTTGTGCTATAAATTGTTTTTAGAGGGTTTGCTTTTCATCGTGTAAGTTGGGGTTTAGATTAAATCTGTTTAATCAAAATGTGAAGGGGCTCAATTAAGTAGACTTAACACAGATACTACTGTGATTCAGTTAGGTACTTGGGAACACATGCAGAAGATTAGAGATTCATCAGACTCGTTTAAGCAGCTGATTTAGTAGAAAGTAAAACTGATGAGTTTTGCTCTTTGCTTTCTCAAGACTAGTTGCAACTAGGATTAAAGCACTGGAAATGGAAAAGGAAATTTTCCAGTTCCTTGCAAAGTTCAGTCACCTGGGCCTGACAACACCATCAGGAAAAAAAGAGACACTCTTGATTATATACAGGCTTGCAGATGAACTGTGCTTCCCCCCACTACCACCTTTTTATTCCCAGCCCATGGACTTAAAATACCTTGAAAAACTGCTCTACCTTCTGGAAAATTGAGAAAACATTGTTGAGAGTTAATTTGGCTCATTTCATATTTCCTGTTCAGCATTTGTCTTCCATTGCTTTTTTTTTTTTATCACTAGGGACATTTGCATGACAATGGGATTTTTCTTGTTTAAGAGATCATCTGCTGCTGCCACTAATTGCCTACCTGAAGTTGTAATCTTCTGTTTGTGACATCTTAATTATCTCAACCACAATTAATTGTGATGTCACAAATGGAGGATTATGACTTTGGGTTGGAAATGCAATAAAGAAATTGAAGTTTGATGAAGCAAAGAGGCCTTCTTGAAAAATAAAAGATGGGACAAAATAATTTTGATTAAATGAAGGCAATCCTCCATGAGCTTCCTTTTTACAGTCCTGGAACAGACATTTCTAATTCTTGCTGTCATAGGAGGCCCTCTTGTATTGAGACAGTATGGATGGGGAGATCAGAGAGAGAATTTCATTGTGCAGGAAGAGAGATCTTCCAGGGGAATTGTCCCTTGAACAGTCACTCGCTGCAGCAAGAGGGAAAGTTGGTGGACCCCAGAGAGGTTCAGGATTTGCCTGCAGAGAGCAGAATGCAGGGTTGGTATGGCTGCAGTTGGTTTAAAGACCTGCCCATTTATAGCACTTCATATCTTGCAATATTCATTTGAGTTTAGACATCTGAGTTTGAAGAACAAATTTCCAGAAGAGCTTTTTTTGATCAGCGAGGAGAATTCCAAAGAATTCAGGAGAAATTATACTCAGCATCCTGAAAACATACAAAGTAAAAGCTTTGTGCTACCCTTTTGTGCTACCTTTATTTCATCATGTCTTTAATTTATTCTTTGTACTTGTCGTATTCGACTTCATGGTATGTTGCCTTACCCTTTTGTATCCTGCTGCTTTTGTTCTGGAAATATGTTGTTTCCACAAAGATGCTGGGTGGCTGGTGAGGGTTAAAAAAAGCCATATGCTGAGAAATAGTTATATCTGCCAACACTTTGTTTTATTTTTAATTTTTTCAAAGGCAAACGCAGTTATGGCAAAAGTTGGTTACCCTCAATTTATAATGAATGAAACATATATTAATGAAGACATCAAAACAGTAAGTGTCAGACTTGCAGATTTCTTCTTTTACATATTGCATCCATCTTTTACATATTGCATCCATCTTTTACATATTGCATCCATTCTTTGCTCTGTTTCACTGCTATCTAAAATCAAAGCTTCTCTTTTGTTTGGCATGCATCTGGAGTTCTGATTTCCTGGTTATTTTTAGATATTGAATTAAGCATGCTAACTCTAATATCTAAATTGTTGATCCCTGTCTGTCTAAGTGAGATGACCATGAGGCCTGCAAAGAACCTTACTGCTATTAAGCATTTTAAAGGTTAGGCATACACAGCCATAAATTTTGCAATTACTTACATAAGTGAAGCAAACCAAAAGCATTTATTCTCAAAGTAATGGTCTTCAAAAATTGTAATGCATATTTCCTTAAAATATCACAATTTATGATGCCCAATGTAAGCTCTCCTCTCCATTGTCTACTGTATTGCTTATAACTGTAACTAGAGGTCCTAACCAACGTATAGGCCTAGTGTGCTGGCTGCTGGACAAGGATACTGTGGAGGCACTCCTTCCTGACTCACTATCTCTTCAGCCTAACTAAGGCAGGAAGGCAGATGATCAATAATAATATATTTTACCATTTTCCAAAGGGAAAAATGTGGCATGCATGTCCTCAATTTTATTTTACAGACAAAGTAGAATCACAACTTGATCCTGAACTGCTAAGATACAAGAGTGCTAGTCATTTTAGCCAGAGAACATGAACAGACACTAGAGGCATAATTTATTCAGAAAACTTTGAAGAACTAACTCTACCAACCTAGTACTTGTTCCTGGAAAGAGCAGAGTAAGATGGTGCTGTGAAGGCAGTGTAATGAGAGAGAGGATGTGACCAACTTTATCACTCATTGTGCAGATTTTTTTTTGCCCAGATAAGTAGTAATGTCTAGTGAAAAACACTTGTTAATCATGGGTGCAAAACCAGAGTTTATATCTGAAGTTCCGCATCCTTACAAGTCCCAGGATTGACTGAAACCGGTGACAAGGATATCATCTGGACTTATCATCTTCCCTTTTCTTGCATAGTTAATTGTGTGCATGTGTAAGGGTTGTTTTAGATTTGGAGGTTTATAGAAGCATGGAGTCCTCTGTCTGTATACATTTAATGTGTGAAACAGTAAGAAAGCAGTGGCAGAACTGTTGGAGAGTACAGAGTATGAAGAATTTGTAATAAAATGCAAAATGAACTGAAAAAGAGGGCTTTCTTACTTTTTTTTTTTTAAGTGGTTTTAAGATGCACTTTTAAAAATAAAAGTAAACCTATTTCCTTCTGGAAAAGAGGTTGTCTTAATAACAGCCATAGAAATGTGCAGTCTGCAATTCATCATTGGGCATTTCTGATTTCCTCAGCTGCTCTCTGATCAGCGAAGAGCTTTTCCAGTGTTCCAGTCCCTCTTGTAGATCTGTTCAGCCACTGTTTCTTAACTAAGCTCGCATAATATTTTTTCCTCCTACCAACTGTAAACATTTTACTTCCTTTGATAATGGCTAAAAAATCAGGTGATTACGTTGTTTAAAATGAAAGTCATGTTTGTTTTCTGTCAGCTTTTGTTTCCTTGGATGTGCTTTAAAAATGCCTGTGCTTTGTCTGTACAGCTGAAGTTTACAGAAAGTGACTATTTTGGCAATGTGTTGCAAACTCGCAAATATGCAGCTCAATCTGATTTCTACTGGCTGAGAAAAGAAGTTCCAAAAACTGAGTGAGTAGACAAAAGGCAAATCTACATAATCTTCTATCAATATGTTAATTCATATTATCTGATTTATACAGTTGATGTTTTAATAGAATTATATACTCTGCAACATATTAGGATACTAAAGGCCTACAGGGAACCCCCCAGTAATTCTGAAACTCATGTGGATAGTTTTTTTTGTTGATTTCTAGGTATGCCTGCTCTGATGCACAGCAGTCAGATACTTGCAGCTTAATTTAATGAAAAAAGGGGTAATTGAATCTCAACTAAAAATGGATTATGTCACAGTTAAAATTTGGAATGGTACAGCAGGGATTATGAAAGAAATTTTCTAAGAATGGAAAAATGAGTAAGAGATAATGTTATCATTGGTAATAATAACCAGCATTGTTAGTTACCTGCTGATGATAGCAATGATATGGAATAAAACATAATACAATTTATATATGTTTTTATTTATTTGTAAACATCAGGGTGCAGATTGTGTCACATACTGTCATAAAATACATGAGAGAATCAATCTCTTTCCTTACTGGTGGGTAATCAAATCCTTAAAATGCAAATTAAAACCTAAACAGAACTTAATTAGTTTAATCATGCTACTTAAAAATTATTCCTTCTGAACACAGACTGAAATTGGTGCTGCTGCTCAGCTCCTCTGTGGTATTTTCTTAGGGCTCCAGAAATTCTAACTCAGTCTCAATCATACCTTGTTCTGGGGGTAACTGAGCTGTGAGTGAGGCAGGTAAAGGATATCAGCAAGACAGGCACAGGCTATTCCTGATTAGAATATTGTAACCTGGCCCCTTATTTTTGAGAGGTTATTTATAAGATAGTTTAATTGCAAATTTTACTTTCTCATCACACCCTTGCCTGACACTGCAATGGTTAATCCCAGGGAATGAATTTACAGCCTTTCCTTCTGCCCTGGATGCCAGGGCTAGATTGTGACAGTACATTCTCTTCTGACCAATAGTTTTCATGAAAGCAGTGAGATAATACTTGCCCTTCTATAGCAACGGTGATCAGCAACCTCTTCCCCTTGAACAGCATTGGGCCAGCACTAACACAGAGCACACAGTTTCTTGGCACAGTGGGAAATCTTTCCTGTAAGGAAATTAACTAGCAGGTAATCCCTGACTGTACTCCTCAATGGCTGTAATGTGAGAACTGTTGCATGGATATGCTTAAAAAATGAAAGTTTTACTTGATTGCCCACTAGAAGATTGAACACTTTGTCATGCTTGTCTTTACCATCTTATTTCAGGGACTACTTGACATCAGTCCCTTCATCAACATTATCTTGCTTTTCTTGGCATCCCGCAGGGCATACTCTGGCCTGGGGGATCCCAGCTGGATTTTTGCTGTCTTTCCTTTGTCAGCATAGCTATATGCTCTGCCTTTGCAGGGCTAGGGCTAATCCCCACCTGAGCCCTCTGTCATAATTATTCATGCTAGGAGATTATTCTACCTTTGTGCCTGTTTGGTGATTGAAAAGGGCTCTGAAAGTGATGTCACACTGTTTGCTTTTCTGTGTCTGCTGAGGGGTGTGAAGGTGCTGACAGCGATTGTCATCTCCAGTCTTTTTTATTGCAGTAAACCGGTAACTCCCAACCGCTGACCTGAGGCGTCTCAAATGTGGTCTTAAAAATATCAGTACTTGCCACATTTTAACTATCGCACTCTACTGCTTTCTCATGTTTTCACTTCTCTTTTTTTTCTTTCCTTTTTTTTCTCCTGCTTTTGTTTTGGTTTGGTTTTTGTTGGTTTTTTTTTTTTTGAGCTTTTGTACTTCATAGAACTCTCAGATCTTTGGTCCACGCTGAAGCTTCCCACTGTGTTAAGACCTACCTTTGGCGTTTTGTTTGTTTGCTTCATTTCTTCTTCTCTCTAGTTCAGTAGGTTGTAGCATAGCATTTACATTTCGAGATCAATTTTATGAGATTGTCCAAATTGTGAACTGGAAAAGATAAATAGGAAAATGAGTGCTTAAAGAAGTTGCCTGCTGGTAAAGTAATATTACTCCAAAAATGTAAACCGCTATATTTACTGTCCAGATTTCTCAGCAATATTATTTCAAACTGGACTCACTTTCCTCACCATAGTCAAGTAAATGGAAAATCAAAATGATGGTTCACTCAAAGCACCAAGGAAACACCACATAGGAGCTGGGAGATACAAAACAATGGAGTTTGATAAAGCAAGGAGAAATGTGAATATCGAAGTGGAAATCAGTTATTCTGGAAATTCAACAGTTTTGTAATCTAAAAAGAGGAAATTTCCCCAAAAGCAGAAGTAATGATAAAAATTCTTGTCCTCTTTTCTGCTCCCTCTCATCCTAGCAGTTATCTGCCTTACAGGAAAAAAGAAGTATGGGGGAAGTCAGGTGAGGCATTGCTCAGGGCATGGATGGGGGGACATACCCAGCCCAAGCTGGTACTAAGAAGCTGTGACAAGGCATGAGGGTGCTGAAGCTTCCTATTCTGCCAGTCCCAGGGGCCAGGGCTCCCTGTGGGCACCACAGATGCCAGAGGTACAATTTGCTGGCCTCAATTGCTGATTTGGATGCCAGCTGTGATCCTAACAGCTGGCTGGGGAAATGGTTGTCATCTTCACAGCTGGCTCTGTCAAACAAGAGAAGTGTTCAGGTATCAGGAGAGAAGCATACAAAAGGGATTTGTGGCAGGAGCTGGGGAATATGATGCATATTCCTCAGGTTGAATTGAAGGAGCTGAATGGAGAAAGTGAAGCTGGAAGAGGGGAGCATGGGAGGAAGTGGACCAGGTATGAAGGCGTTTATAACCCAGGTGAGACACAGAGCAGAGGGAGGTGAAAGGCAATGTGTGGGGAAGTGGTGGCCATGTGGAAGGGAGAGATAAAGGAAAACCAGGGATTGAGTGGTATTTGCTTATCCATCAGTGGAGCTGTATACATTCATACATACAAACATACATACATGTGTGTGTATATGCAAGCACAGATCCGTACCTTTTTAACAGAGATTTGATCTGTCCTTAATGCTGACATAATAGTTAGTGACAGATAGATAGCAAGGCATCAGAGGACTTCTTGGGCATATCATTTCATTATTATTAATCACTCTCCTTTGAAATCAGGACATCTACCTTAAAGTTTTCTAGACCTGGCCAAATCTTTCTTCACTTTTGACTCAGCTTTCAGTGCTGGAGATGTTGGTATCTAGTAACCCTGTAAGAGGACACAGCAGAAGCATACTATGAGAAGATTCCTGGGAGTCCTTCAGGACCTATTCCAGTTTCTTGACCACACATTAATGTTTGTAAGCCCTCGCTCTTGGTTCTCCACAGGGGAGGGCAGCTCTGAGAAGTGCTGGGCTGGATGCCATTAGGGACAGTATAAAAACTCCTTCTGCATAAAGGGAAAAGAAGCCATGAAAGACACTGGGCAGGCTGTTGTCTGCTGAAGAGATGCTGTTGGTAAGCTCAGAAATCCTGTGGGTGGACCTGCCCTGGAGAGGAAAGAAGGGAAAGAAGCCTCCTGGAACCGTTTCTTGGTCTTTGAATCTCATTTTAAGCAGTGGTGTGGCACTGGAAGCTGTGCCCAGCCTTACTATCCCAGTTTCATGCCCAGTCCCAGGGGAGACTGATGGCAGCCTGGCTTAGGTGGCTAATCCTCTCTGAGTCTACACAGAAAAATGTATAAAACAGTCTAACAACAGGAAGATTAAATACATTTTTGAAAGTTACCTTGAAGATTGCCCTTTAGAAGTTTTTCTTTATAATTCTTTCTTCAGAAGCAATTTTCCAGATTCCAGCCTCATTAACAACTTTGTACAGCCTTTCACTCCTAACCAGGTTAGATGTTTTGCATTCACAAGTTCTTTTTTCTTTACTTATATGAGCTTAAAAAAAAAAAATCTTACTTGGGACATTGAACACAAAATCCTGCTCCACTTGAGAGATTTCTTCTAATTAAAATGGTTGACAGAAAAAAATTGAAAATTCAGTTTGTGCTTTACAGACAAATTAACAAGCTTTTCCCTGTACAGTAAAAATTTCCAGCCACCCCTCTTCACCCTTGGCAATGTAGTACACTATACTCTTAACTTGGAAAGGAAGATATCACAGAGAAAACTGTAGCCTAAATGAACATAAACCTAATAGAGCATCTGCCCCACTTGCTATCTCAGTGCAGGTTTCAGATTTCAATTCTACAGGAAAAATTTCAAACTTACAAGTGTCAAGTCTACAGATTAGGTTTCCTCTGATGCAGTAGGCAATAGGTAAGGTTATGGGACATCATTCAGAGCTGTCCTTTTTCACATGTTAATAGCAAATGAAAACAGTGTAAACAATTCTAGATGTTTTTGTATTTCGTTTAAAAAGTTTAGAGGTTAAATAGGTGAAGAGGTTAACATCTGTTATACCTGTCTTTTTTTTTTCTATCCTTCTGCTAATAGATCAAATGAAATTGTAACCAGACCCAGAGCAAATGCCCAGGCAACCTGACTCCAAATAGGAATGGGAGAACTATCTCTAAATTTGCTTCACCTTAAAATTTAACAGTGACATCTATTTGTTACAGACCTTCATATAGTAATTCAGTGTGTTATTAGTTAAGGTCTGTCACTGAACGTTCAAACAATTCAAGAAGCTCATTGAAAGAGGATGACAGATGAGAGGTGAAGCTGTTCTGCTAATCTGAATGGAAACAGTCTTGGTTATTTCTGTTTTTTTTTTGTGTAAAATGCTCCCTAAATCTTTTTGAGGGTGGCTCAGAATGGTACAACAAAATGCTGGAGTGAAAATATGCTCCTTGCTGAGTGTCTAAACATCAAATATGAAATTCAGCAGTCTACTCTGCTTGTCACTGGAGAAATCATATTCTTCCCAACTCCTTGTCTCAGCTGCTAAGTCTTCTCTTTCTAGCTGCTTAAAAACATAACAAACTTTATACAAGGTAATTCTCGAGGCCTCATTATGAAAGAGTAATTTGGAAAGAACTTAGTGCAGTTTTATAGTGAGAAAATGGAGGCTGATATCAGTCTTTGGCTCATATTATGTTCAGGAAACAGGATGGGCTCTGTTATTGTAGTGGTAGATCATAAAGAAAGAAGCATTCTCGGGATGGGAATGTTGTGATGAGACTTAGCTGCTAGCATGTCAGTTACAAGTCTATGAGTTCACAGATATGAAAGCCTGGTGTGATGTCTTCCCTTAGTAGCTGCAGACTAAATGGCAACAGCCTTTGCAGTTGTTCTCCAGTAGAGTGAGGTGCATCTCTGCTGGCAAGTATGTTAATCGCTGGTTAGCTCCTCAATAAAAACGGGTGCAAACTTGTTCTATTACAGAGGTGTTGCATGTCAATTAAGAGCTCTTTAACCAATGCTTGTGGGGGTTCCTATCTTGAACTACCTGTGGTGAGCCCCTGGGGCTGGAGCAGCTAGGAGGGTGGGGAGAAGAGCAAAGCACATTAATCTGTTTTGAAGTATTTGTTATCCATCTCAGACTGTTGATCCTATGACTGGAAATGAGAGGCCCTGTAAGATACTTGTTATGAGAAGGATTTGTAAAAACGGAGGATTTGTTGCCCTGGAAGTTTTTCTCATGCTTAAAACTTACTGTTTGAGAGCACAGAATGGCTGTTTTAAGTAGAACAAGCCAGCAGGGTGAGGTAGAAGTCACAGCACTATGTGTCTTTGTTCAAACTTACAGTAAAATCTAAATTAAAGTGTTGAGTGTGTCAGATGCGTTCTTTCCTCATGAAAAAAGGGATAGAGTCCTCCAGAGCCACCGCTAATTCTGGAGAGCAGGTCCCACCACAGAGGTGGCTGGCTTCCATCCTTCAAAACAGTAGAGCTGATTGCTGATGTGAACAAACTTGACATTGATACATAGCTAATTAAGCCCCCTAATTTTTACTTTATCCCCTCATCATAAGCATTCTTTCTTCAGTTTCCCATTAACTCACTACATTACCTCTAACATTTAATCTCATTATTATAGAGGAAACGGAAAACAACCTCCCCCTGCTCCTCCCCTTCAGAATCTCCGAGTAAAAAACCCAGGGAGAGTGATACGTGGCAATTAGAGCCTATAATGCAATGGATGGTTAAGATACTTACATGATATCACTCTTTGCTTTCATTGGTTAGTTTTTCTTGTTGCTGCACTATAAAATAAGCCACTCAGCTTTGAAGATTGGAGAAATAGATAAATTTATTGATAAAAGACAGAATTCTGCCATACTAAAACTCTCCCCTTTTTTTTTCAGTTTATGTGAGAACATCAGTTGTCAGAAAACCAGTCAGGATCTGCAGATAACTCATTCATTTGATGGTGCTATTCTGAAGCACAGATTGTGTATGCCACTGTCACTGACATCACACTTCCTGTGTTCTGATAGACCTTCCTTTGTCTTACTCTTTGTTTTGAGCTCCTATTTCTTATCTTTGAAAGAAATTTTCCAAATCAATTGCATTCCATTCATTTGACTTTACAAAACTTCCAAGTAATGCATTGCTAAAGACATCAGGATCTTCCTGTTTGGACATTTACTAGAGCTGTTTCTAATTTATTATGAATTAACCCCTAATTCTCATGATTTTACTACTTTTATCTCAGTTCTTCCTTATAAGATCAGAGTGGAATCTTGGACTCAACTCAGAGTTTCATCTGAGGGGATCTGGATCTTGCTGAAGGCAGCTGAGATTTTCCACACATATGGGTGAAGCCATTATCAGTGTAGATGAGGTTAAACTAAGCAGATTCATAAATCCTATTTGCTATTCAAACCTAGGTTTCCCTCCAGTATGCACGAGAAATCTAACTATGAGAAGAAATCCTAATATTCTTTTAAAATTTGATTTGCCTTGCAAGAGGTCCATGTGTTTATAAGCATGCTGATGGCCATTTTCATTGAGTAGGGCACAGAATCTGTTTATTTTGAATTTAGGTTCCCAGAAAGCACCTGCCCATGTTTCTGGCATCATCCTAATTATTCAAGTTGTTGTTCAGCAAAGTGCCTGAAGCCACTTCACTTGTTTCAAAATTCTCTAATTTCAAGAGGGAATTTCTCCACACGTGGTTGAAAGGCACCTAACAAAGTTTTCACAGCTGCTATCAGTGTTGCAGCTTCTGTTGGGTGAACTTCAGCTTATCAGCCTGGCAGATCTCACAAGCAAGAGGGTAACTTAGAATTAAAAGGATTAGGTAATAGGAAACCTAACAATCACTTCTCTTGAACTTTCATTGCACTTAAAATAAATCCATTAAACAGTAGCTTTCAATGTTCCAGAAAGCATCTAGGTAACATGTTGAAATGGAGAAATACTTTAATGTAGCTTGTCCTTGACATTTTCCTTCCTTTTCACTGAGTTCACTCTACCTTTGCTCATTCTGTTCATAAAGTTGTGTAAGTGTACTGACAGCTTATTTCTTTTGCTCTTACTACAGGTGGTTTACAAGCCCAACGACTGTAAATGCTTTTTATAGTGCATCTACCAACCAAATCAGTGAGTATCTGACTTCTGAGCTTCCTTATAAAGTGCTTGTTTAGGAGTTGTATGTGTCAAGCTCCAGATAATATCTGTACAGTTTTGTGTGTTTGTGACTGAAAATAAGTGAGAAGGTAGTTCTGGAAACCCCAGGGTTCCCACAGATTTAAATTACTGTTGCTTGACAAGTTACCACATGTCAGCTGAGTCGTAGTGGCCATTAGCTTAAATCACTTTTATTAAAGCTTAATGTTTCTGTCTTCTGTTTTCTGTAGCAAAAAGATGTGTACACATACCTCCATAAATATACAGTGATAGCTGCCTTCAGTCCTCTAGTTTTAATAAATATGTATCAGTAAGCATGACTAGAGAAGACTGTGAGACAGACCAGAAAATCTAAGAACTGGTGGCCAGTGGGTTTGTTCAATGCTTTCAAGGACAAGAAGTGGTATCTGTAGTTAACTTAAAATTCTTACCTGTAGAGTCTGATGAAATTATCTCGCATGCACAGTAAAACCTTTCTTCTGCTAATTTTAGTTACTGGCGGGTTTTAGAGAGCATAAATCTGGATTTGGAAGCACATGAGGTGAAAGAGCTGAGTTTTTCAAAGATGTGTGTGGATCTGGATATTCACTCCCATTTATTTTAATGGGACTTTGCATCAGAAATTTCTAAGTGGCTATTAAAGTCTACACCAGTATTTCTGTGTACAACAGCACTACCTTTACCCTGACATTCTTTGCTCTTATATAAGGCTTGCAGGTTAAATCAGCCTTCTTGCTCTGTGCTGTCAGTGTCTGGAAGGCAGCTGCCATAATCTCTGTGGTCTCAGTCCCCAAGGACAGGCATGTCTAAAATCGTTGAGTGACTTCCCCTTTTACTTCTGCATCTCTTTTGGTTGCAGAGAGAATTACTTTTTGACAGGGACAATGTGAATATATCACACTGAACAGGTTACAGCAGAGGACTCACAATCTGGGTCTGCTGGTATCTTCTCCTACCTATTTCTGTAAACAGTTTTTGCTGTCAGACCACTCACTTAAATTCTTTCGACTCCAAGTGAGATCATTTGTAAAGTGTGTGTGACAATTAAGCAGTTCTTTTGCTTAAATCTATTTCTAGGCATAGACCTCTCTACCTTCACTAGAAGGTTCCCATCATTAAACAGCCACTTTTTTGCTGATCATCTGAGGCAGATTTCCCTGAGCTGATCACAGCTCAGAAGTACCTGTAAAGTGTGACAAGTGCTTTTTCTGCTGAACTAAGCACCAGCCACCACTGCTGCTTCAGATGTACTGTGTGAAGAGAGAGGAAGACTGGCCACTGCAAAATGAGAACCGTTGCTCTTATGTCTTCTTTAATATTGGGTCCTTTCAAGTTTCAGTAGCATTCGGCTGTCTCAGCCTCTCTGCCATGGCACATTAGAGAAAGCTGTAACAGAGGCTGGAGTGACTGAAGCTAAATTTCCCACTCACTGTCTTTAACAGTGTCACAAAGCAGAGAGCTGTCAAATGTAACCTATCAGTCATGGGTGTCGAGGCAACTGTATTTTCTATCATAACTGCTGACCTTATTATACTGCTGCTCACTGTCTTTAGGACTGTTCCTAAAAGGAAAAGGATTTAGGTGGCTCTTTCTGAATAAAACCCTCTCCTACCTGAGAGAACGGTACAAATGTAATCATGCCCTAAAAGCAATGTACATTAAGAGGGAAGATTTAAAGAAAGGCACAGTACAAAGTCTTCCGCTGTTGGCTGATGTGATTTGCAAGGGAAGAGGCCCCAGCGGATGTGGGAGGAACATGCTTAGGCCTGAAGCTGCTGATGAATATTCAGCACATCGCTGTTGAGTTCCCATTAATGCTGCTGGGAAAGAACTTCAGTGCAGGAAACTGAAGTTTGTGAGCCCATACATACTTGTATAGCGTGATGTATATGCCACACAAATCTCACCCACAGCAGTTACAAGCTTACTGCTTTGCAGCTAAGCTTTCAGTAGTAATCCATACAAAGTTCTGCCAGCGTTGGTGATATGCTACAAAAACTGTGGTCTTTTTAAAGCTTAGTTAAACAACAGAAAAAAGTTCTACAATAGAGAGTAAGTTGAGAATAAGAAATAAGCATGAACAATAAGCAATTATAAAATAAAATATAAGGTTGTGATAAAGCAAGCCCAAAAATATTTTGAAGATCAACTTTCTAAGAACATAAGAAATAATAATAAAACCTTTTTTCAAACACACTGAAAGAGGAGAGTGTCAAAAATAAGCATACGATAATTCTTTGCATTGGAAAAGTTTGTGAAGTTCTTATCCTGGAGGTTTTTCTGATGGGAAGTAAGACCCATGAATTCAAATCTAGGGTCAATAGAAGGTACTTTAGAAGAAATTCATAAATGAACTGTGACAAATATAAAGACCAGATTATGTTCTCCCAGGTATTTCAAAGGAACTTAGACAAGAAATTGCCAAACAACCAGCTTTGATGTATAGCTTATCACTTACAGTGGCCTTAGCACAGGAAGAATAGGTGTGGCACGTGTTGAATGCTATTTTTCAAAAGGGAATCCAGAGGGATCTGCATAAAAAGTCATTCTAGAGCCTATTTGAAGGAAACTATGTTCGCAACATGAATGAATAAGAGAGAAGGAATAACCATATGATACAATTTTTAGAAAAAAAAAGTTCTTTTTTTTTTGAAATCCAGAAAACGAATAAGTGTTCATGATGTGCTATCTTTATTCCATAGAGCACTTTCCCAATGCTATTAACTGGACGTTATCTTGGGAAAGAAAGGTTCCTTGTTTTCAAAATAGGAGTTATGAGGATCTGTGCTGGGAAGCAGATGATCTGAAAAAGAGGGCATTCTGTTCTGAACAAAAGAGCAGATGGATATAAACTTGTTCCAGGAGGAAAGGTCTCTCTGCTACTGATTGCTGGAGGGTAGAAAGATACACTAGTAGAAAAATTGCTTCCCAGATAGGTGCCTGATGCTCTTTCCCTACACATCTACTGGTTACTGCTGTTTTTGCTCTTGGTAAATGAGTTTAGTAAGAAGGACAATTTCAGGAACAAGAATTTGCAAATGCACAATAAAAATTGTTTCTGGAAAGCAGCTTCTACGTTAACTGGAAAATACCTGGTCCCAAAGTTGATTTTAAAAATTAAGACTGTTCAGTTTGGAAATGGAAATGTACTGTGCGATGTTACGAACATATAACCACAGCTACTCTAAACTTGGTTGGTTACCGAAGGCTTTGTGAAAGGGTTTAGAGAAAAAGCAGCATCAGTGCCTTGAACCACGGAGCCTGAAAAGGAGCTGTCATGAGGTACCTGCAGAAGTGGAGGAGAGCTTGAAGATTCTGATCACATCTGAATTTTAGGAAGCTGCTTTTGCTTTTTGTGCTCAGAGCACAGAGAGGTCTCTCATACACTCCTGGTGGAAGAATTAGAAGCTCTTTTGCCTCTGTAGTCTGTATCACTGGATGTAGGCTTTAAACAAGAAATCACTGCAATCTCCAAACAAGTCTATGAAATCTTCATATGCAGGCAAAGTGTTAGTGTTTTTAACTTGACCACTTGACTACTCCATTACTTGAAAGAAAAGGTCTTTCTTCACAAAAACTGAAATTATTGGAGACTAGAAACTTGATAATTTAGAAAATTATTAGATTTTTGAGAATACAGCAAAACTTGCACATGAAGTAAATTGTAACAAATCTTGCTGCACATCAGTGCAAGCAGCCATATGTTTGCTATTGCTTCATTTAGTTTTCATTACTAAACTACTGATAACTTGAATAGACAACAATTCTGTTAATATCTCCAAAGCAGAAATAAGTAGATGTATCAAGATAAGATGTGCTGGAAAGAGCAGAGTTAAAAAAGTGGTACATATAGTTTATCCTATTACTATGCAAATTCACTCCTGATGTTTTCTTTACATGAGTTCTATTTATTTATTTCCTCTTTTACCATAATACAAAGTGTCTTAGATTAACAGCCATGCATGTTTATAATGGTTGTTAATATTTTTTTTAATCCTAGTTTGGATAATTATTTTATTTTCTTTGCATTTGCTCATCAATTTCTCCCCAGATGTATGGGCACTTAAAATAAAAAAGACACATGTCACTGCCTTTAGATTCTAAAAAGGTGTCTAAGTGCACTTCCTATATTCTAAGCATACTATCTTTTTAACTATCATAAGTGGAATGCAAAAACATTTTCTGAAAGACTCTGTTTATTGTAATGCACTCAAAAGCAGTCAACAAATATGTGTTGAAAATAGATACAAGTGATGATCAAAGTATGCTAGCATACTTCTTTTAGAGAGAAGGTTTTATTTTATTACAGCACTAAAATATTGGCCCTTGAATATGTTAAGGATATAAGGGAATTGCTCATTAGACATTTGGTGTATTTAATTTTTTTTTCCAAGTGTAAATCTGTATGTCTGTAGAATATATCAAAAAAAGTACCATTTGTGGGTTGTGAACAGTAATGAAAACTGGATTTACAGTGAACTGAGGAAAATATAAGCAACACATTCATGAGGTATAAGCTTGAATAGATGTATTGGATAATTAACTACTGTTGATATTATCTCCATAAGTTTATACCCATGCTCCTTCTAAGTCATCTGTGCTTGTATTGCAGTTCTCTAGTGAAAGTCAAGAGGCCCCTTTAGAGAGCGGCTTCATTACATGTTACAGGAAGAAGATATAATCTAAACCAAAATTCTAAAATTACTTTTGAATTAGCATCCATAGAGAGAACCACAGATGAGAGCTCATATTAGCCAGTAAGTATCATCTTTATAGAAAGCAGCAAACAGATATTGATGCTGGCAGCTTGCTGATGCTGTGAGTTGCAAGGGAGAACTCTTATCTTGCCAAGAGCCAGGGAAGTGCTGGCAAACAGCACACAGTGCTGTGGCCAGGGGAGGGCAAGAGAACTGCTCATAGGGGCCCTTTCTCTTCTCTTAAGAACTAGACTAATTGGAAGGTTATTGATGAAGTAGTTTCAAGTGTGCCATTAGTTTCCAAGAGGTTAATAAACATAACAGTTTTGGACTGAACACTTTCTGAGCCCTGTTATTAAGTAAGCTTTAAATGTTCTTAAGTGAGCCTTCATTTCAATTTCCCTGTTTACTAATGACCAATATTCTCTTTTATTTAATTACAGTCATAGGTGAGATGATGCCCAGTCCTTACATCCTTTCTTAATTTCTTCTTCCTAAGAGTCTTATCTATATATGTATAAAACAGGAGAACATTTTCTTTGATTTTTTTTTTTTTTCTCTGTTTATTTGTGGTTTTGTGTGGGTTTTTGTTTTGTTTTTTTTTGTTTGTTTGGTTGGTTTTTTTCTTCTTCTTCTAGGGAATCCAGAGAGTGTTTTCCTTCAGAAAATAAACGTCAGAGTTTCTTGTAAAAACGTGTTTTCACAGGTTTCCTAGTCCCTTAGCATACAGTATTCATTGGCCCCTCGCAAGCCATTCTCCCATAGAGGCTGGGAAATTTGGGTTCTTGCTTTTTCATAAACACAAAGAGCCTTTTGTCAGGTAGAGCATAAACTGAGCCAAGAATTGAACCAGAGGCTGCTGAGTCCTCTGCTTTAAAGACGACCACTTCTTTTTATCTGTTAATGAATTTATTTCCTACTCATCAGAAAGTTAAGCTTTGTATTCACACATAGCATGGAACAGTTACTCTGCCTTACACAATTTATATTTTCTATCCTCATTTTCCACAAAACTTGAAATTAAACATAGGATTCAGGTCCGTGTTATGACAGAGATTTTGATCCTAATCACTTACGTATGGTGCTCAAAGCTGTCTGAGATGGTTTACAGCATCCATAACGTTTCCCCATTTTGGCGTATTTGAGAGAACTAGCAGGACACCCTTGCAGAGGCAGGATATGCAAAGTCAAAAGGCGCTGGGAAGAGCTTCAGTTGTTCAAACAGAACTCCGTGGAACCATTTTAAACAAATGTATCCTCCCTTTCATGCTGTTTTTAGGTAACTAAACACCCTGGTTGTCTTTATGTTAATTCCTTATGTGAAATCACTATCCTTTGTTTACTGACCAGCAGTTAGTCTTCTGCTTATATCTTATCTCCTTAGAACTCTCCCTCTGAATTCATTCAATAACACTTGTAAAACAAGTTACAACTGTTGAACACATCTGAGAATTGCCAGTACAACAACAGAGTACCCTGTATACCACACAATTTAGCACAGCTGTCTTCCATATCCATTGCTTACATACTGGATTCACTAGCCTGTCAGAAGTTGCTTTAAACAAGCCAAATAATATTGGAAATTGTAAATGCACTAACTTGGAATAAGGCTTTAGTAGATCTTGTCTTTCTTAGTTAAAGATACCATGCAATATAACTGAATAATGTAATCGAACTATAGAGTTTGAATTCATATTTAGATTTGGACTCCAAATTTCCTCATGATTTAGTGAGCCATGTCATGTGTTTTTAGTTTATTTCATCTATTCTTAGTCTGCACTGTTTCATTAAACTAACAGATGAAATGTGATTGCTTGTGTCTCCTCAGTGAAGTAACAATATTACACTGAGTCTCAGGATTTTCATCTGCAAAATGTGTATAGCAATACCATGAAGGTATTAGCTGGTAAATGCATTCATTAATGGCAGTAAAGCCCTCGTAAAATTGAACAAAACCCCCAAACTTTCATACCTGAAATACAACCTTTATAGCACCTTGCTGAGGAGAGAGGTCAAAAATAATATAATGGATAAAATGAAGCTAGAAACCTTCAATTAAGTTAAAAATAGTCCAGTGCAGAGTGCTGTCAGAGCTTCAAGATCAGCATAAATACAGAGTGAAATATTTGAAATGAAACAGATGTACTCCGCTGCCTGAAATGTCCCTGTGCTCCCGAGCAGTAAGGAAAGGGGAAAGTTCAGCAAAGAGTCACTGTCCAAAGGTCCTGAAACAGGGTTAGGAAAGCCAAAGCCTACCTGCAATCTTATTAGGGATATGAAGTGCAACAAGAAAAGTTTCTGTAAGTGTAGCAGCAGAAGAAGAAAATGTAGGGAACACGTGGTCCTGCAGCTGAATGGGGGCAGGAGACCTGGTGACAAATGACATGGAGAAGACCAAGGTACACAATGCCTTTATTACCTCAGTCTTTACTGGTAAGACTGGCTTTCAGGAATCCCAGGCCCTTGAGACCAGAGCAGAAATCTGGATCAAGGGGATTTCCCCCCAGTGGAGGAGAAGGTGGTTAGGGAGCATTTAAATACACTGTGCAGACACAAGACTGTTGGATCTGGCAGGGTTCACCTGGGTGCTAAAAGAGCTCGTGATGTCGTCATGAGACCACTCTTGACTATCTTTGAAAGGTTGTGGTGATTGGGAAGGTTCCTGAGAACTGAAAAAAACAAATATCACTCCTACCTCCTACCCAGGGAACTACAGGTTAGTCAGCCTCACATTAGTCCCTGTGTACAAGATGGAGTAAATCCTGGGAACAGTTTCCTTGACCAGCTTTTTATGATGAGATGACTAGTTTATGTTCATTTACCTTTGATTTTCATAGAATGAATAGAATAAGGCTTACTTTTTATCACTTTCATACCCTGAAGCAGTCTCTTGCTGCACTGAAGCCTCACTAAGCTAATACTTTCTGAATTCTTGTTGTATTTTATATATATATTGCCTGTGGATCTGTCAGCATATCTCAGGGCAACCCAACAATTTTCTTCACAAGAAACACTGGGTGTTTATTCATAGGTACACATGCACTTTCACATGTATGTAGCCATGGAAGAAAATTAGGTTCTTGCAGTGCAGCATCTTGTTACCATTGTGGTCCTGAGGAAGGGAGGATCTCTGTTTCTTCTCAAAGATCCTCTCTACTTCACTCTGAAACTACCACCTGGGGAAAGCTCCTCTAGCAAAACCTTCTGAAGCTAAAAAAAAGGTCATAAAATCTAAACCCTTGGGTCTTGTGATATACAGCTATTATTCAGCTGTATTGAACTCCCTGTCATTTTTGCTGTTTTGCAGGATTCCCAGCAGGAGAACTTCAAAAGCCTTTCTTTTGGGGAACAGAGTATCCTAGGTAAGTACTGCATCAGGGAATCTCATACAGTGGAAATGAGGAATAACAGGGATTTGAAATACATACAGACAAAGAAGAGGGCATGGAGAAGAAGGTTACTCTGCTGAAGACAACTAACAAGTGGTGCACAGGAATTTTGCGTTGTCATTTTGTAGGGAAAGCTTGGCCCTTGGGCTGTGAGTTCTTCCCTGCTGCATCCTGCTTTTACTATTGAAAAAACATACTTTGAAAAGTGCTGCTTTGTGGGATAACTTTTCTTACCCTTGGGAGCTGTCTATGTTGCTGTTGTCTTAAACTGATGACTGATTTCTCTCAGGAACTGATGATTAAATGCACCCGAGTGGATGTGTTTCAGTGCTATAGCATGCAGTTGTAGCAGTGTGCACATGGCAGGTATTAAAAGGAATTGTAAATCAGATAGCTGACACTTCCTGAACAGAAGTGAATACCCCGAGAAGCCATTTATTGTCAGTTTATTGTTCATTTTCTGCTAATACCTAAGATTAACATTGGGCTTTCATCTGTGCCTGTTGAGGTGCATGAGAATATCTCCATGTGCATGAGCAATTGACTGAGCAGGCTCATGTGCTACTATGGCCAAAGAAGAATAATTATAGGTCACATGTATTTAATTTTGAAAAGTCACTGCTTTTATGCAGTTCAATATCTTTTAATTTCAGGCCAGGATATGACAGTGAAAAGTTTCTGACAGCAGATTCTGAAGGTTATTTTGCAGTTATATAAAGTCAGCTAATGGTGAATATCCTTAATAAATCTTTCTTTAAAAAAAATCAGAATTTTTTAACATTTTGGGTTTGCCATCTTCCAATCCTTGTAAACAGGATATTTGGCAATATATGTAGAAAGACACATTCAGTTTAGGAACAAATGAATTTGCATTCAAAGAGAATTCTTATGAGCCAGGTGACTTTCTAAGTGGTAATTGGGGATTGAAGAAAGTCCTTTCTTGTTAAGGTGAACTTATTTTCTGCTGTACGTATTGCAGACCTGTTTCTAGCCTTGCTTTCTGAAGAGATTTCTCTGTACCCTGACCTTCTGTGATAGAGATAAAATTGTGGTTCTTTCAAAGAATTATACTTTGTTCATTTCTCTTCTTTAAAGGTTACCTTAGCTTAAATTGGTTTTGCTTGAGTATGTATCAGAATGAAATTTAGTAAACAAATGTAGCTGGTTTATATCAGACAACAGATTGCTTTTTGTCCTTGAAATATTCTGGATCTGTTTTCTGTCTGCTTAAAAGAAACAGTACATGGCACTGGAACAGAAAAATCATCAGAAAGTCATCAGCACTTGCTGGAAAACCAATTTAGCAAATATTTAACATTTAGTGGCATTTTAGTGTCCAGTTCCAGCATAATCACTGTAAAACAATTGCATCTATTTGCATAAAGGGAAGCTAAGCTATCACCTCACATCTCAGTACATGAAACAAAACATCATTCAAATTCATAGTTAGGAGTCTTCAGTGTCAGGCATATTGAAATAGACTTCAAACTACCTGAGCTGGTAGCTTTCTTACAGTCCTCTTGAGCTTCCCCAGACCCAGAAAGTTCACCTTTCATGTGGTACTTGTCAGGCTGCACATAATCCCATCCATCTCTGTCCAGCTGTGCCTCAGAAGTGAAGAGCATGAACAGATCTGGGAGCATTTCTAGCAAAACTGTTGCTGGACAAAATGCAACAGGGGTTCACAGAAGAAAAGACCAAAATTCATCCCAAACTTCACCCTGTCTTTTGGAGCTGGGGGGAACCCTAAGAGTGCCTGGGCACTAGCCTGTATTTTTGTCCTTGCCGCTTGTGATGACCGGGTAGCCTAGAGGAAAAATGAAATATATTTTTTATTAGGGCTTGTTGTTTTTTCTTGGCCTCTTTATGTGTTTTGTGCCATTCTTTTCATACTTCTCCAGCTGCAAAAGATCCTGTATAATGACTTCAGATATAGAAAACAAGTCTTAAATACTACATTTAGTATGGGTAATTATCACTCTGTGCTACACAAGATTACAAATTTATCACACAAAAGGATGATCTTTCCTGAAATGTATAATTTTAGTAAAGGTTTGCAATAGTACTTGGGGGAAAAAAAAACAGTAGTGAAGACTTTATCACATGCAAATTACTTTTCAGGAAAGAAAAATATAAAGTGAAGAATTGTCAAGGGAGAAGGGGGAATTAAATAATACTTTTTGGGCATGACTTAGATGAGTAATTAGTGTGCTATGGATCATTAGGTCCAGTAATAACATGTTACTTCAAAACCCTCTGCCTTTCTCTTATTTCTATAGAATGTGTTAGAAATACTATAACTATAAGCTACTTTGAAGTATGGCATCTTAATAACTGAAATAAATAAAATCACAATGAACAACATAACATATGAAAGATGCATTTTGTAGATCACTTCATTCCATGGTATCCATTGCATTTATATAAAAAAAGCCCTGAACCTTTCCCTCTTCCATCCTGATTTCTCCCAGATGTATGTTTATTTAGATATAACAAGAAAAACATAAGTAATTGTCAATCAGGAATGCAAAATACGTCTTTCTATTCTGTTTCACCAGTGCATTAGACCTGGCTATAGATCATGTCCTATTCCTCGGCAGGTGCAAGGAAATTGCCTGAACTCTCTTTTTAAGACTGAAAGGAGATCTGCTTAATGCCTTACAAACCAGCGTCAGTCGCTTGCAAGTCTGTTTGTTGCAGTCTTTGATTTATTATTTTTTCATTATGATATTAAGAGAATAATTTCACCTGTAACTTTGTCCCATTCTTAGTTAGGATACTCACAATGCTGTAAGCTGAAGGATACATTTTGGAGCTCACATGATGCCAATAAGGGTATTGTTTAGAAGAATGTTTTTTAAAGTTTTATATTAAAGGTTGATTTCAAAGAAGTAAGAGTTTAACATTCAGGCTTTCAACAACTTTAAGTCAAAATTGTGCAGGTATGATTTTTAGACCCATTCCCCTCCTCCAGTTTAAATAAATAGTCATCTTTGCTGTCCTTTAACATTTATGAGTGTGGACACTTTCTGAGGAAACTGTTTCTTTGTGTTACAGGTCATTAAGCTACGGTGCCATAGGAGTAATTGTTGGCCATGAGTTCACTCATGGATTTGATAGCAACGGTGAGTATTTTATTTTATTTTATTTTTGTTAACAGTGCTGAATTGTGTAAAAAAAAAAGAATGAAATTATAAAGTTGTATCTTTAAATTTATTTACAATATCTTGCTTGTCTGAATGGAGGGTTTTTTTGGTAAGTTGTGCCAGAAGTTTGATGCTTATCTTGAATGGAAACTAAGAGACTCAGAAAGTCCTGGCTGGGGAGAGCGGGAAGGGTAAAGAGATAACTTCCGATTGATGAAAATGACTTCCAAGAAACTTTTTCATTTAAGTTTTGACTGTTTCCAAGAGGTGATTATGTACCAATATTAAAATACAACACTGGAACAAAAGTGGAACAGAAAACCTGTTGCAAAATATATATATATAATTGAGAAAAAAGAAATAGTCTAAAAATGTCAGACCAACTGCCCTGAAAAACTGGGTGGAGCAGGGCATTACCACCATCTAACTTTGGCTATCACAATAAAGTTCTTTTTAAAATCAGGCTCCTGAGAGAGAAGGTGGGGAGGAGAGATAGAAGCACAAACCTCCTCCTCCTCCGGGGAGCAGTTCCGAGTGGCTGACATTCCACTGTAACTCATTGTCAAGAGAAACCTCTTTCCACTGAAAACACAGGGAGTTTAAGGAAAAGGGGGTTCTGCCTCACTGCCTAACTAGTGAGCTAAGTTGCTTATGTTTCATCACATTGAATACCTTTTAAACAATAAAAGGGAAAACTTGTATCCTGTTGGCGCTGCTATGCAATGTTTTGTGTCAGCAAACACTCTAGAACGGAGAAATATTTCTTCCAAACTCGAGTCTCATTTGTAGGTTATCTAATCTCCATCATGTCTCCAGCCTGTTAGAAAGGAGCATAAGATTTGACACCCTAAGCAGACTACTGCCTCTTGCCCAGGCTCTTACCTTCTGAATATAGAAATAAAATACATCTGTAAGGATTTTGTCGTCTTGGACAAGAGAACTAATAGGGAAAAAATAAGGAAAGAAAAAAATTAAAGAAAGCATCTTCAGTACTTGGTATCATGTCTACTGGTTTCTCCCTACCTCCCTTTCCTGCAGTCGTAACGAAGACTCAAATCATAGAGCAAGTCTGTGTCCACACGGACAGCTAAACCTGCTCTCAAAAAGAAGTCCTAACATATCTTGTGTCTTGTGTCTGACTGGCTGGAGACATGATGGAGATTACTCTCCTACAAATGCGATAGAGCAGAGACCTGAGTCCCCATTTTCCGTGAGCCATTGCTGTAACCATCAGCCTAGGGAATTGGATGTATGTATTCTCCTTGCTTCCTTGAATAGGATTCAAATGTTCTGGTTTTGCTGCAAGGCAAAAAATTGAAACTTCAGAAGTTTCCGTCAAATGGATTTTTTTTTTTTTGTTTCTGGTCAAGCGTATAATTAATTAAGAACAAATTAGTTATCATCAGGTTTGCAGAAACAGAGACATATGGGCTGAGGATGAAAAATACTCACAATTATACTTACAAGAAAGCTCATATGCCTCTTACACTATGTAATTATAAAATATAGAACTCATTAGTCATTGCTATTTTTTTCTTTCTAAACATGGAAATTATGACAATAAATAGAACACCATCTTTTCACCACTGACTTGAGTGGGATCAAGATTTTGTACATTGATCTTATACATTTTGTATACACACTTGCATGAGTACATTAGCATCTAATTTCTGTACAGGTGATAGATTCCAAAACTGGAAAACTATGGGGTTTTCTCCTATAAAACCATTTGTTTTCTTTCTTTCTTTTTTTTTTTAAGGTCGTAAATATGACAAAAATGGAAATTTAGACCCGTGGTGGACAACTGACTCTGAAGAAAAATTTAAAGAGAAAACAAAATGCATGATTAATCAGTACACTAATTACTACTGGAAGAGAGCTGGCTTACATGTATGTAAAATACCAGTGATTGAAAGCAATGATGCACAAGGAGTTTGGTTTTGTTGTTTTGTTTTGTTTTTTTATTTGGGTTTTTTGTTTGTTTTGTTTTGGGTTTTTTGTGAGGCTTTTTTTTTTTGGTTTTTTTTTGGTTTTTTTGGGGGGGGTGTTAAATTATCTTTTTATAAATCCCAGTATATTGGGATATTAGTCTACCAACTTCATTTCTCACAACAAATCATTTTTTGAAATGAATAATTGTGATAAAAATTGTCTGTCAGATTTGATTAGTCCAGTCAAATACCACTAGCCACACCTTGGTGACAGGGTTAAACCACTTCTCCACATCATATCATTTTGGAATCAGAGGAGGAAGATGAAGCCACCCATCAGGGCTGGTCTAATTACAGTGAGCATGTTAAATGTCTTCTGAAGATGAGGTCTGTAATGAAAACTGAGCAGTCACTCTTTTTAAAAAGAAGAACATAATATCATGTTTTATAGATTGCTTTAGCAATTCCTCCTGTTATTTATTACAGCTATAAAATGGATGCATAAACTCTATTTCAGATTCAACTCCTGCTATTTCTTCCATGTGTGCATGCAGACCCAGTTTGTATCTCAAATGAAAGAGTATGATAGCAGTAGCTCACAGAAAAAGATTGAGAAAGAAGGTGCAAAGGAATGGTTTCTGTTTCACTGTCTATCAGAGCTATGGGCTTCCCTGAAAATGTGCACATTATAGAAGTGTCTAAGATGAAGTTAAACCAGGTTAAATCCCTGACCTCAAGAAATTAATAGCTAAAGTTCCAATTCCCAGCTGGGACATGACTTTAATCTTAATTTTCAGGAAAAAACACATACCCCACCCCCTACTTAATTCTACCACTTTTACTTACATTTTAGAATCAGAAATACAATTATGTCTTTGTCTTTTAAGAATAGAGAGGACACACCGAATGCTTAGCCTTAACACTTTCCTTAGGCTGTTTGTATTAGTCTCGACAGTAACAAAGCCATATTGTAGCTCAGTCTAAAGTCCAACAACTCAGTCTTGAAGTACTTCATATAAGCCAATTTACAACTAAAAATTCTCAGGCTCATTCCTGAATGTCTCCAGGACAAAAACAGTTAATACAAAAATTCCATTTAAAGAAGGTCATTAAAACCTTCACCAAGGGCTCCTGCCGTTGGCTTGGCCATCCCATTTACCTTCTATGGTGTTTCTTGAGATGGGGTAGGTCTGAGTTTCCCTTCCAATATAGCTACTGCCTTTGAACTCTGTGGATGGGCTTACTAGAGAGATCCTGTTATCCACAGCTTTATCATCTGCAAAGCTTTTTCCTCCTATTTCCATGGGATATATTAAAATACTTTTTTAGATGATAGAAGAATCTTCATATTTTCTGCCATATTTTATAGCTCCTGTATAAAGAGGTATGTATGCAAAGAGCTTTTTTATTTATTAATTTATTTTTGTCTGTCATTTACATCAATTTTCTACAGGTATTTTACCCCTGTACACATATTTTTCATGGCTCAAGAAACCTATTTACTTTTCTTCTTTCTCATTGAGTTGCAATAAAAATGTCTCCAGAAAAAAAGCATAATGAAAGAAAAAGTGGATACAGAAATAGCTTCAGAGTGCAATAATCACATGAAGTCATCTGATCAAATAAAGGGTTTATCATGTCCCTGAGCCCTGTCACGAACTGTCTGTACAGAGTAGTCTCAGATACCTGACCCAGAGCTGCCTGAGATGAGCAGAAAGACTTCTTCCACTTATTAAAATGACCTATGGCCCAAGTGCCACTGCTGGGTTACTCTTATGCTCTAGATCAGTCTACTTCACAAGCCCGCTGTGGGAAAAAATGCATAAGTAGGTAGGCCAGAAAAAAGGCAGTGTGTGCGTATTCCCTGCTGTCCTAGCCCCTTTTATCCTAAAAGCCTCTCTCCCACCTCCATCTCCAGCCTCCTGAGGGGAGAGAGAGCTGATAGGAAAGGGTTACACTTTCCTCCACTGCTCCCATACCTCCTCTATTACACCCTTGAGGAAGATGCCTTGAGTCCAGTCTGGGTGCTTGTCTGCTCTGACTGTTGGGGCTGTGCACATGTGCCTGGGTGTCCCCTAGATCCTTTTACTTCTTCTTCTCCATTTTCCCCTTTACTGTCCTGAAATGAAGGTGAGTACTGATGCCAACCCCTCCTATACTCATCCCTGCAACATGGGAGATCCTATCGTCAGAGCATCTGCAGGCCAGCATTGACCTTCAGAGCTCTACTCAAAACTGCTCTGTTACTGTGCTTATTTGAGGCACAGTAGAAAATAAAACTGCTTACAAATACAGTTTAGTAGCACTAAGACTTTAATGGGCCCGGTGATCAGAGATAAAGCTGCACCTGCAGAAATGAGGATTTCTTCATAATGATACTGCGCTTGGTAATACCGGGAGACTGGCTTTTTCACAAAGTTTAGATAGCTCTGCTTCTCACGATATATTCTTGTTGCTATTGCTCTTGCTTTTGGAATTAATACTGGGGAAAATCTCCTTTGCAGCTATTTTTAGAGCACTGAATCAATTTCAGTTCTGTCTCAGACAGTTATTTTTAATTATGCTGGTTTATGTTATGACTTAAAGGTCATTTTAGCGTGCCAATAATTTTATATAATATAGTTAGTTTTAACATCCCATGAAGAGTTATGTAGAGAAACAAATATAACCTTTTAGGTAAAAGTTTAAGAAAGGGGCTAGTGGATCTCATGAGTAATCAGATAAAATCAGTCTTCAGGGGAAAATTACTGGTGCTCAGATCAAAGATCAAGGACGGATTCTTGAGTGTATTTTATGTATTACATTTTGTGCTACAGAGATCTAGGACCAGAGCCAGGATAACTCATCACAGAAAATTGTTTACTGACAAGTTTTCACATTGAAACCCAGTTTTCTTAACCAGAGATATGGTGTTGAAATTGGCTCAGGTTGTTCTTGCCTTGTTTTATTTTTTCCCCTGCTTCTTGAAGTTCATCAAGAAGGAAGTTCAGAAATGGGTCAAATGACTGATGTCCTTTCACTCTGCCAGGTGAAAGGCAAGAGGACTTTGGCAGAAAACATTGCAGATAATGGAGGTTTGCGAGAGGCTTTCAGGGTAAGTACATGAAAAATATCTGGAACATGGTATTATTTCTTAAAAAAAGGAAAAAGCTGTTTAGGCTCCATGCTGCTGAAAGGCACTTAGTATATCTTTCTTATCAGGCATACAGGAGATGGATTACAGAAAAGAGGGGAGGAGAAGAAGAGCCTTTACTGCCAGGCCTTGAGTTCACACACAACCAGCTTTTCTTTCTGAGTTATGCCCATGTGAGTAGTACAAATGTGTTTCAAATCCCCATCTATTAACCTGCACAGCTGGCAGTGCAGAGATGAGACTGCTTTGTTTCAATAATCTACACCAGTCAAATCAAGACTTTTCAGGCTATAAGCAGAGACTTGCTTTTCCAGGACTATTATTTCTTTTATCTTTTTTTGTCTTTGTCCTCTTCTATCTGCGGTGCCAGAACTGCTAAAATTGTTCTTGGTTTTGCTCAGTGTTGTCAGAGCAGCTTTCTTTCCTCTTGCTGCTTTCCTCCACTACAAGAGTCTTTTTGCATGTATTGACTCCTGAGCCTCTTCCTATTTTAGCTTCCCAGATTTCTGATGCTTGTAATATGCAGCAGTTTCTGAATGCTTCCACTACAGACTGCAAAACTTTGATAAGAGATGTGATTTTTTTAAAGACAAACATGTAGAACAAAGGAGAGAATCAGAAATTATTTACTTGGTTAAGAGTCAGGACAAACACCCCATATAAGAAGTGAAACTTGTGCTATAAAACTGCCCACCAGTTGAAGAAATTAATCATCAAAACTGAAGAAACATGACCTAATGCAAGCAGTACAACCAACTCTGGCTGAAAAATCGTCTCTCTGCTGAGAGTCAGTATGGCAGTGTATGTGTCTATGGCCATTTCAGTTTGACAATATTGACCAATTGAAAGACCCCAGTTAGGTCCTTTAGGCTGAGTTGACTTTCACACTGTGTCAGTTTTTCTCCAAGAAAACTTTGAAGCCATATGGAAGATCTGGGGGTCTCACAGGACCGCTGCAGGAATCATATGTCCAGTGGACCCTCTGATGGGAAGCACATGCACAGTGATAGCAGTGTGTGCCAGTTACCCTTGAGCTCAGCTTATTTCCACAGAGCTCAAGTCACCCAGCAGACTCATTCAAACTGCCAGGGCTGTCTTCAGCCAGGCAAAATTGTACTGAAGTCTGCATATCTCATGGGCAGTCTGGCTTAAAGGATGTTGTCAATAAGAAACATTCAGCACAGAGCTTAGTTAAGGTGGAGACTGGTTAAATGGGAATTTTTCATGTAATGGATACAGCATAAGAGGAATTATTCAGATGTGCAAATATTCTCTCTAGCCTGTTTTATGGTTAGTTACAATTGGGTCAAGTATTGTATCAGGAATAGTAAATTGGGTACCACTGGTATAAACTTGAAAAATGTGTAATTTCAAAAGAACTGACATTCCAACATGGAACAAATACATCAGGTAATATAGCTGCAATTCTAGACATGATAAGCACCATTATGTGTAATAGCTTTGAGACAAAGAAGGAGGCTTGGTAATTATTAAAATTATTAAGGCATAAGGTGCTGCAGCACAAGCTGAAAAGCAAGCTACCATTGAAGAGAAATTCAGAAAAAGAACTAGTAAAGTGGCTATGAGCCAACGATGGGAATGAGTGGGTGAAGAATAACAGTGGATGAAGACTGGATCCATTGCAGGATTTGAAAACCAAGAGAATATGCCAACAGAAACCTACAAGTTAGCAAAGGTGAAACAAAACGCAAGTTTGTGGTGGTTTTCTATTTTGTGCATTCTGTAAGTAATAGGCATCTTAAAAACAGTGGCCTTACATTCTGCTTTGTTATGAAGTCATCCCAGATAACATGTTTATTTCTGCTTTTTGTCTTTTATTAGGTAAGATGCAACTCCTTTAGACCAGAATCTGCAAGAGAGCAAATATATACTGGAGCTCACAGCCCTCCTGAGTTCAGGTAAGTGCAAATAATGCATTTAGTCAGTGTGCATATAGAACCTGTCACTGCAGCACAAAGTGCAGATATTTAGCGTGTTAAAGAGAGGTTTAAAAGCAAACACAAAATTAGCATGTGCTCTCAGGTTAGATTGAAATGGAGCTGTTTTTATTAGGTTATCTAGTGCTATTACAATTGCTCTTCTGTAAAAATGAAGGGCTTACATGTACCTTCAAAAGCAGTTGAACCAGAACACGCTCTGATCCCTGTAATATCCTGTAATCATGGCCTGAGTATCTAAAATGTCTCATCTTTATTTTTTTTCCCCCTGTGCAATTCTAGTTATATATGTTAAGAGGGTCTTTGATTTAATCTTCCTGGATTCATTAAAAGCTTTAAAATTATTACCATGAATTATATTGATAATGCAAGCAAAACATGCCCTGTAAATTCAGTTAGAGATTAAACTCTTCAACCGGTCTTCAATATACACTTTGCTTGCAGGAGCTGTGATAGTCCTGCCATAACAAAGTGTCTGTGTCTTTGCCCAAAAGGCTTCCCACAGGCTACTCAGCCACAGATATCCATGAACCCCAAGAAGGAGAGGCTGGAAAAGAGGGAAGGTTTAAAGACTACATAAGAATTAGGAAGCCAATGTTTGTTTCTCCACTTCTCCACAGAGTTTGTGTAACCAAGAGCTAGTTGTTTCTGTTGAGTTTCTTATTGGTTGCATTTACTTAATTGTGTGTTCATCCTCAGTTGAGTGCTACATTACCATTGTATTTGGAGGAAGGATGTTAACTCCCAAGCTGATTCATAGTGGAGGTATCTCTAATACACTGGATTAGTTGCCTTCTGGAAATTCCTGCTGCTTTCTGTTGACTAAAGAGGGAGCTGGGATTCCACCTTCTCAGTGGGTTACTTTAGGTGATAAAAGCCCTCTTTGCCTCAGCTCTCTCTTGGTAAACTAGAAATAGCAACAGTGCCTTCACAGGGCAGCTGTGGAGTTGCTTCACAGGCACTCTGAAATATTCCCTGGACACAGCCGTATCAAAGCTGAAGATACAAAACTGGCATGCATAACACGCCTTAGGCTACTTATAACCAGAATGGGTTAAGGAATAATGAAACTGGAAACATGATGATACAAAAAATTTTAATATAAACTAATGCTGCAGATGTGTATGCTCAGTCTTGGTAGACTTGTAAACTCTGCATTGAAACCTGCAAAGGTGCATGCCTTTTAGCAATTGAAAGTACACCATGACAATGAGGACAGAAGTCTCAGGCTGATCTCCAGCCTACAGATTGGTATATTTTCAATGGTTCCTACCTTTGGCAAGATTTTGGTAAAATAACCATCTCTTGCCTTTTAAAGTCCTCAGATCTATTTACCTATACACATGATTATATATTCTGAATCATTATATAGCTACATTCCCATGAGATGGAGCAAATCCCAAAATATACAGGGAAGCCTGGGGAGAGAGCATTCATGGGGAAAGCTTATGAAGGAATCAGGCTAACAAAAGAAAATTCCATAGAAAATTAGATTAATTTGGGGTCTAGAAAATACAGACAAAACTTTTTCTTAGTTTTTATATAAGATACTCAGTACAGGCTTCTGTTTCAGACATGAAGAGAAACTGTGATGCTTGTCTGTTCTTGCAAATCATATCAACTGGGTTAACAAATCATATTATCTGTTTCCTTCAGCTTTATATTCTAAGACCATTATGAGTGTCACAGCTGTACAGCTAGTTTCAACATTGATAGCTCCTGCTATCCAAAAAACCCAAACAGTCCTTTTTAAAGTAATTATAAAAAGTAACTATAAAAGCCGTAAGAGATGAGCAACACATATCCTGAGCATAGGCCTGTCCATCTGAGCTAGTCACTCAAGGTTTTCACAGCCAAAAAAGAAGAAAAGGCATTGTGGAAATATATTGATATCTATCATCTTTCTGTAAGTAATAAGTTTAGATTACTTAGACTTTGCAAGTACATGTTTTTTTTTGACCACCAAGGGAGCTCAGGGTGACCCATGCAGGGGAAAGCGTCTCTACTGTAGTTCAATGGGATGAAATCCAGACAACCCACTCTGACTCCACAGTTAATCTCTGACAGTATCAAACCATGGGTAGAAAAGTCATGTGCGTGGGCATGTTATAATCTTTCTCTGACTATATTCTAATATTTTCAGTATTAACGTGTGTCTTCACTGTAGTTGAATGCCAGTTTCAGAGCAAAATCCCTGGCATGGCAGGCAGAACTCCCACCAACTTCAGCAGCAGCTCTACATGACCAACTCTTGTTGTTCCAGTCCCTGAATATGTATTTGCAATGTTGTTATAATAAAACCGTATATCTTCTTTCTTTGTAATTCTACCTAAAAAACTGACCTTTAGACATTTTTTGTGCCAGCTGACTGCAAATTTTCTTACTCACATAAAGTCTATCAATATAGTAAGAATGTTTGCTACCATGCTGAGCTACACTGAGAAGCTGATTGTCTGCAATGGAGAAAAATACCTTCCCACTGCATAGCAAGGGGGGTGAAAAAACATACAATTAATGTCTCAGTCAATACTTCTTTGCTTTTAACTCAGAATGCTGTTTACTGTAACATATTTCAGGTTAGTAAATTCCAAGTTATTTAAAAGCATAGGAAAAATCAGCAAACACCAAAATCCCAAACTAGCAATGGTAAAATAGCACCTTCTGACAGCATCAAATAATATAGACATGAAAGCAGGAGCCAAGGATGACTGAATACAAAGAGCAAGCTCTTCCTCTGTGCCTGAAAGTGCCAGTCTCGGGTGCAGACACATTGTCTAGCTTGCATGAGGCAGTGATGTGCTGCTCTTTCAGTAACACACCATCTGTGGTGCAAGCAATAGAGCTTGAGAGCTGGTCAGGGCAGAAGCCTCAGAAAATGTATTTCCAAAATGTCAGAGGAGTTGAGATGCTCACAAGGTAAGGCTGAGCTAGCCAACAAGAGAGGCTCTGTCTGCTCCCCTTTGCCCCCAACTTCAGGCTGCAAAGTCCCAGGGAGCCAGTGTGTGTGTGTGTGCACAGGTGGACAGAGGATGTTGTTACAAGAACCTGGCTGGCATGAGCCAAATCAAACCACTTCTAGCACAGCCGTGATGTGTCTTTACACACTCTTGCTTGCTGGACTGCAGCATTTTGGCAGGTACTAGAAAAAGGATTCCATCTTGCAAGGCTACTGCTGATCTCCCACCTCTGCTGCCAAGGGTCAAATTGCTCTAAATGGCACAGTACCCTCAAGGTGTAATTGTTTTGTCAAGTTTCTAGCAAAGTAAGATGCTTCTCAAAGCAGTGAATGGAACAATATTATCTTCACATTAACTGGGCTTGCTTCTTCTGAACTTTTGGGGTTTATTTTTTGAAAAATTATATGGAAAGCCTGAAAATTAAACTTGAAGTCAACACAGTGAAACACACACACGCCTGTGGTGTTTAACCAGAGACAGTCTGCACGTCAATCACTTCTGTCTTTTCTTTGCAGAGTTATCGGTGCCATGAGCAACTTTGAAGAGTTCCGTAAAGCTTTCAATTGCCCAACAAATACAACAATGAACCGAGGGGCAGGATCCTGCCGGCTGTGGTAGACGTCCATTCCAGGTCTTCTGTCAAGAGGGGTCTGCAATGTGAATCGCTGCACCTGAGCTCAAGCCTGCTGCTAGAGTTTCAGAATAACATTTTGCAACCTGGAGAGCTGTTACTTCAAATGCATCACCTTATCTATGCTCATTACCTGCATGGATCTAATCACTCTCTATTCAAAGCCTAGAAACACTCAAAATGGAAGAGGATAGGTTTTCTTTTTTATCCATAAAACTACTCCCTCTCATCTTCAGTTGCACTGCTGTTGATGGGTAACTGCCATTATCAATTCTAATTCCTGATTTATAGCTGGGCCAAAGACAAATGCTAAAATCCAGTTTTAATCTATTGCTCTGCAGGGGTGCTATGCAGAATGCTCCCACACAAAATTTATTCTTTCTGGATGAAGGAATTCATGAGACCTGCTATAAAGCAGCTCTGATCTACTGTGTGATACAGCATTTTCATAACTTAAACCGTCACTGCCCAGCATGCCATAAATGATGTTGCATGATGTAAAGGCACACAAGACTTTATATAAATTAGGTTTAATATGTCAGATTAGTGCCTTAGGTTTTGGAACAGTTTCAAACTGAGAAAGCACCTCACGGTTTCCATCTGCTAAGACTAAACAGAAAGCATACTTGTCCGATCATAGCCTCTTCTAATTTTAGAACAGCTTATGATAAAAAACAATGTATGGTGAAAATCAGAGGCTTGCAGAGGGAATTCCCAGCACCATGGTACTTAGAAACATTACAGCACTTATTCCTATTTACAGTGTGGGCAGTTTTTTCCTAAGGAACGATTTTTATCTTGTGCTGAAGGTAGCTTCACCTACATTAATTTTTAAGCCTGAAATACTATACCAGTTTTAATCTAGGAATTTCTTAGTGTCTGGGTCTTACAGAGGAATGTTAGTAGTGTGCATGTTTGTCCTCGTGTTCTAGACAGGGCAGGGTGGCTTTTGATTTTAATGAAAGAATATCTGCCTGAAAAGCAGGGCCAGCAGCATTCAACTTGTCTGAATAAAAAAAGTTCAGTTCAGAAGCAGAGAACTTTTAAATACAATATACATGCAGGCCAGTTGAGTTTTTAATTTGATTTCTAACAATATTCATTAAAAAAACCCAAACATTTTATTGCAGCAGAAGGACTTTAACACATAACTATTACTAAGCAGGGAGGGAAACCAAAACCAGCCCTTTCTTCCCTATCAAAAAGATACGTATTTAACTGCTATTTATTTATACCTTGTGCATTAATTCATTTTTACATGGTAGAATTGTTTGAAATTGAGAGTTTCTTTAGACTGATTTAATTATTGCAAATCTATGTACGTATCTTATATATATACATTTATAGATATATACAAAAAATTATGAATTCTTCTATTTGCTAAAATTTTATTCTAATAATATAGATAGCAAGTTAACAAGATAAACACTTTTTTTACAAGGATTGATTAAATATTGTCCAACTGTCAAGGTGGAGGAAGGTTCAACTGAAGCCAAGTTTTTGCATATGGGATTAGTTTCCTCTGTTTCTTTATAAAGTAGGGTGTCATCATGGAACCATAATTTATGGAAAGATATAGGCCCTCAAGCTACCCTTCAGAGAGAAGGAAGGAGACATTTCTGAACTCAAGGTACTGTTGTCACTTCTTAGTAACGAAGTATTATGTCTTATGGTACCAGGACTTTCTTTTTTCAATTTTTCCCGAAAAAGTCAGTCTTGAGAGGAAAAGCACTTTTGCTTCCTCTAAGACAGCTCTGTTCCTGAATTCCATGGATTACACTTTGTCATTTGAATAGCCACTAGTAAATTTTTTTCCTGGAGGTACTTTTCACATAAACTTTTTATATTTTTATATTTTTATAGAGACTTTCCTAAAACAAGGAAATGGGTCTTGAGCAAAATGATACAATTCTCTTATTAATGGGAAAGTTCCTTAGCACTGACAGGACTTATGTTGGTTGCTTTGGATCAACAGCCCAAAGTGCAGCAGTGACAGTGTGGCCCCATTAAAGGTACTACCGGTCATTGTCCTCAGAAAAGTCAGGACATCAACTCAAACACTTATCTAAACTTTCTAAACTAATGGACTATGCAAAGCCAGTTTCACAACAGTCAGCTTTAAGTTTTCTATTTTTATCTCTCAGATCAGAGATGTATTTCCAAGAGTTCCTCTCTCACGACTATTTTCCAGTGAGAGAGAGTCCTTAATTTTGTGGTTTACGGGGTTGTTTCTCTGCGCTGGATAGCAATTTCTTTCGAAAATGCCTGATGCTTGCTGCCTTAAATGTCACTCTTGCTAGGCTTCTTTTATGTTTAATACCAAGGGGTTTTGAACTGTGGTATGCATACTCGCAACAGCACAGCACCTCAGCAAAACTGTCTCATCCTTGCTAGGGCAGCTGCTGCAGCAGGCAGGGGTCCTGGTCCGAGGCTGGGGGAATAACCAGGGGGTGGAGGGTTTGGGGGAAATGCACTATGAGGGAGGAAGAGAGGGCATGACCACATTTTGCACCCTGATTTTAGCCATTGAGAGGGGCCTACACTCTGTCAAGAAAGCCAGAAGTCCTTGCTGACTGGCACATTGGTCCCAGTTTTTGGAATCCTTGCCGTTGACTCAGTTTTTTGGTGCCTTGGGCTTCAGTCTTGCATATGTCCATGCAAGGATTCTAGCCTGCCTCATCTGCCTTCTTTTTACCTCAAAACAAACAGCCACTGATGCAATTCAAAGTTCATTTTAGAGTCAGATATTTAGGTACCATTTGAAAAGCAAAGCAGAAGGTAATTAAACACATTCTTAAAACTTGGTCACCAAAAATAGCCAAAATACAGTGATGGTTTCTGGGGGCTCTACCCATTGTCCCTGTTCTGCCTGACTCCCTGCCCTGCTTTATTTTTGTATTGTGCCTACTGGGTGTATGCTAGTAATGCCTTCCTGTGCTCCCATCAGGCTCACTTATTACACCTATGCAAACAGAGCCTTCATCATATATATTCTTCTCCCAGGGCCTTTAATTTTTTTTTACTTGCCATGATATTGAGAATTGTTTCTTCCTTTTGGCTCAGAAATCTTTTGCTCCACTGCTCAGGAGGGTAAGGATCACCTGAATGAAACATTTTTACCTGTGTAAATTTGAAGAGATATTTTCTACTGTGTAGACATAAAGGAACAAGCCCTTCTCCTGTCCCATGTCCTCTTATTTGGGTTCTGAAAATATGTAAACCTGTTATGCTATGCTACTCCATGCTATTCCATGCTATGCCTTGCCGTTCCATACATAATATGCTATGCCATGCCATGCTGTTCTGTTCCCTCTTTTTGTGACCCAACCCTGAAAATTCATAGAATCATATGCTAAACCACCACCTTGTACGTTGTATTTCTGCTGATGGCATTGTGAAGAAGCTAGCTTTACATACACAAGTAGCTCTCTGAAAAAGCAGAGGTGCTATTCACCTGTGTAAACTGCATAGGTACATAAATGGTGACCAAGCTGGGTCTGGATGCTGAAGGACCAAAAACCCCAGCTATGTTATAAAGCTCTGCCTCTTGCTCTGCGCAAGGGGACTTTAGAATTCTTTAGGTACATATGCATCATGACACTAAATGTTTGAATTATTTATAAAATAATCAGGTGGTCTTACCTCTAACTTTTTATTTAGTATTATTCAACAGATTACAGGCTTAGAAGAATATTTTATAGTAATATTATATCCATATCTCCAAAGAAATATTAAAAGCCCAGCAAATCAAGAAGCAGAAGTCTAGCCAGTTAAAAGGTCTTTTGTGTTTATGTCTTTTAATCTGCATTTTTATTTTGCTAGTCAGTCTGACTTTTAATTTTTCTTCTTGCATAATGCAGTGATTGTTTTAAAGACAATTTTGTTAGCCAATAAAAGCCAAAGTGGTGAAGATTTTTCCTATGCTTGCAGTACAGCAAAAGCTGCTTGGCCTGTCACTGTACAACTCTACAATGTTACCTCTGTAATATGCAGTCTTTGTAAAATGTAATAAACAGCATAATGACACAGCCCCAGGTTCTCAAGGCTACTGTTACTGCCTGACAGGCTAAAAGATCCTCCTTTGTGAGAGCTGTCTAGCCATCTTGAGCCAGTTTTTCAGGCTTCAATTGCCCCCATTAATCTGCTGGAGGCAATTGAGCATAGGGTGAGCTACTGTGGACACAGGCTGGATGCTGCGGAAATTACAGCAGGACAAGAAGCAGATGTGTTCCCACTGGAAACTATTGGGGCAGAAGAAGAGGGTGGGAGATCCACCTGCCTTTCAGACTCACTCTTCTTCTCTTGCCCCAGTCTGTTCCTGTCTTGGCCCACCCTGTGTAGCCTCACCTGCTTTTTAATTGCGTTTAAGCATTTTCCAGAAGTGTTTTCAACAGGATAACCCTAGTGCCATGCCTGAGTTTGAACTGCTGCTGCTTAGCGACGTCTCTTCCCAGCCAGCACAAAGGAGCAGTTTCTCTGCCTTCCTTGGCTGTGGTGTGACAGCATGTAGCTTACCTTGCTGATGTTCCTCACCACGTACTTCATGAGCCTGACCAAGCATTTGTTCAAGGGCTGTTTGGGCACAGGGGTGGTGCCAATGCCTTGTATATTACCAACTTGGCTCTTCCAGGCTAAGTGCCCTATTTCTTGGTCTCTGAACAGTTTTCTGACACTGCTTGGATACCCATAGGCAATGATGCTGCCCCACCTTAAGGCAGCACAAAGCCTGTGAGCAGTAAGGAGCAATTGTACCTGGTGGGGACTTTGTCTGAAGCTGGCCTTGCCACATCCTTTGAATGATGCTCTGTGGTAGCACAGCTTCTCAAAGCCCATAAATTTGTGCTGGCAATTCTCCACAGAGCTTTTGGTTTGCAGTGGTAGGGACGCTTTTTGTTTTGGAAGCTTACATCAGTTCTGTCACTGACTTTACTGTGCAGCTTGACTAACATTTCTACAGGCAAAAGCAAAGTTTGTATAGAGGAAGATGAATGAACAAAGAAAAGGTTGGGGTTGCAGCATGAAACCAGCCTCAGCACAAGTATTTTGCTCAACTCTCATGGGGTTTGCTGCGCTTGCCCACATCTTGGAAAGATGCTTTAACAGTGGTTGTAGATTGCCCTGAGGAATTCAGGGTTTATCTTTTACAGCAAGAGCCAGCCTTCACTAATCAGACAATTTAATCCCATTTAAAATGTAATATATATTTTTAAAAAAAAAGAAAAGGAATTAAAGATTCCTGAGGTGCTCAGGCAGAGCACTATGTTTTATTAAATATAATGTCAAAGTTGGAAGTTACTGTGAATCAAGATAATGCGTTATGTTGATTTGTGATCGAGGAAAGAGATACAATGGTATAATCCTAATCATCCATAAGCAGCACAGCTGAAACATCTTTACGTACAAGGTCAGACACATACATAGATGCATACATGGGTGTGAACTTATGGTTTTATTTATTTATTTATTTTTCATTCTTAAAAATTTAAAAATGTCTCTAACAATTGCATCACATCCACAGTTCCTAGTGTTTGAACTGGTGAAAATGTGACCTGTTTGTTCAACAAAGCTTGGGGGAGGGCTTCAACACGAATTTTAAAACTTTTTCTACCACAAAGTTTATTTAACGGGCCAGCACTGCTGTGAGCAATGGCAGTGATGGTTGGTTTATATAAACAATACACACTTCCTTTCTGATGATGTGAGCAGCAGAGATTTCAGTACACGAATCTGAAAAACTCTGATATCACATCCTCTTACTTCAACACTAGGCGAGTATTCAGGTAAAACAAGGAAAAAAGAAAATCTTATCAAATACAACAACCAGGGAAACATGAATATACGTATATATGCCATGATATACAACTAAAAAAAGGCTATTGTGGAAGATGCGGTTGCCAGACAGGACTGGTTCACAAACTTACCAGGTCACTTCTGCTGGGAAAAAAACTTGAGAGCAGGAGACCTGTCTGCCTTTGTAGCCCACTGGTGAGTGTCTGGGTGTTAACAGCTCAGTCTTTCTGGGGAGCTCTCAGCACTGTGCCCACTCAGAGGTCACTCCATCAGCCAAGGGGCTGGAAGGGCTATGTGCCTTTTCTAGGATGTCCAAAGCCCCTGAGGAGGCTCGCCTGCAATTCTGCCACTGAATTCTAGCTTTATGCATATTTTCTGTCCTTTTCCTCCAAGCAAACATAAGCCACATGAGTCAACAAATCTCTAAAACAGAGCATTTTAAAGGAAAAAAAAAAAAAAAATGGTGCCTTTATTAGTCTATGCTGCAAAACAACGCAATGCCACTGCATCCATCTTAAAAACACCCACATATTTTGTGGAATAGGGCTGCTCTAATCAGAGACTTAACACATATGTTTTCATGTCATTCCACTAGAATGGAGCTTCAGCCTTTTGCAGTGGACAGAGTAGAGCAACATATGGAGTGATCCCTGAATAGGACAACAAAGAGAAGTTAGAAATGCCTTTCTTCAGTGTTGTAAATCCTTGAAAGCTTTTATAAATCTAGTGTAAGTACTGCTACAAAAGATAATATATATTATACATAGGCACAACACAGGAAGTCTGTAAGTCTGTGCTATTTAAGTGTATACAAAAATGTCAGAAATATGAACTATTTTTAAAAAAATAGAGTCTCGGGGTAGAG